TTATCATGCAGGTTTGCATCATTTCAACCAGATGATCCAACGGTAGCTGCACGGATCTCAGGCTGCCTGGCGAACATCTCGGCATGGATGAAAGATCATCACCTACAGCTCAACCTGGCAAAGACTGAGCTTGTCTTCCCTGCCACTCCAACTCTACAGCAGATTTTCACCATCCTGCTAGGTTTATCAACAATTACCCCCATCAAGTCAGAAATCATGGAGCAATCTTTGATGACCAGCCAACCTTCAAAGACCACATTGCAAAGATAGCTTTATCATGCAGGTTTGCACTGCAGAACATCATGTCATTTCTAGGCTGGACTACTGCAATGCTCTTCTGTCTTTTTTGTCTCTCGTTGTCTCTCTGCACTTGCTACGGGTTGCGGCTTGCCTCAAGTTCAAGACATTGATGCTTGCATACAGAACAGCCACAGGCTCCGCACTCTCGTTTCCACTCACTCTGCTGTTTCCACTCACTCTTACGAATCTACATCCCCTCCAGAAGCCTGAGATCTGCAAGTAAGCGACGCTAATGGTACCATCGCAGAAAGGCACAACATCACTTTCTAGAACATTTTTGTTCACTGTTCCTTGCTGGTGGAATGATCTTCCCACCCTCGGCTGAAATGCCAAATCCCTCAATCCCTTTCACTTTCCCTTAATCCTTCCCTGTTCTAACTTGTAACCTACTATTCTAAACAATGTCTGAAAGTATGTATTATGAGCACTTGTGTTATTTACCTCTTTAGGATGAATCGCTTGTTGTGTTCCTCATTTGTAAGTCACTTTAGATAAAAGCATCTGCTAAAATGTATGACCCATCACCATATGCCTCTTTTCCAGACGCTTTTCCAGACGACTTTCAGCAGCTGGATCTGTCACTCCACAATTCTTTCTCTGCTCTTTAGTCAGGGAGAATATTGCTTGTGATAAAGATGAGGTGTAGTGGCCAGGCCAAAATAGAAGGCAGGATGCAGCTTAATGTCTTTTTTTGTTACATTTTGTCTTTTTGCATTTAGACTTTTGAAAAAATTAGCAAATTTATTGTGTTCAATTATTTACTTATTTATTTTAAGATATCAGTATGTTATGACTTGTTGAGGCACCTGACTATAAGGCCAATTCATTATTAAATAACAATGTTATATTATACTACTATGAATATCCCATCAGTATATTTATGCAACCTGTTAAAACGTGAGTGTGAAGCAGGAACTGCTTGCCATTTTGCAGATTTGGTCTGGGATTTGGTACACGAGTTTCAGGTTTTGCTTATAGTTTTTCAAGTTCAAATTTTAGTGTGTAAACAATTGGGAAAACTGTAATAGTAATTGGATGTCTTTGCTTTTTTAATGAGAAGAGGTATGAATAATATTTTGCTAGTAGAAGTGATGAATGACTGCTACATTATCATCTGAATGAAGGGAAAACAAATGGATTGACGCTCATCAGATCTCATAATGTGCTGCTGCTAAAGTGTTGAAATTGATTAAAGCATGCTCAGTGTGCATGAAATGCAGACTGCCAGAGCAGATCATTACAGATTTAGAATATAACATACAGTGTTCGGGAGTAACTAATTCCATGTAAGGGAATTACGTAACTTAATTACAAAATAAATGTAACTGTAATGTTACAATTACTGAGAAAAAAATGTGTAATTAAATTACAGTTACTTATGAAAATGCTAACGATTACAAAGTTACATCTGAATATTTTCACACACATACAGATATGACTGATTTCTTTCCCAAATTGCATTGACTGCTTTAAAATATGAGACACCAACATTTCAGGAGCTTAAAACACAGAATAGGACACATGCTTATTCTAACTGTTTTAAGTCCTATTTAGGTTTATGTATGTGATTTCTTTATTTTTTTCACCAAGGCATTGTTAGGATTTGATTTCAAAAACAGTATCATACTATATGTTATATCATATCATATATATCATACTATATACAACTATATCTTATGATTTTAAATTTGTATTTAACCTCAAAACGATCTCAAAGTAAAAAGAGGTGCTAAGTCAGATTTTGTGGTGGCTGTTTAAATTATTTTTTTATCATCTTGAGAAGAAGGATTCTGAGTCTGACAGTAATCAGTTTTGAGCACTACTGTAAGGCTAACCCTGCCTGTTTTAAATGGTTCAAAATGATTATCAGTTGAAAACATTCATTAGAAATTTAGAAAAGTAATCAAATGTAATCAGTTTAATAAAGTAATTGAAATAGGTACACTACTTATTACATTTTAAACAGGGTAACTTGTAATCTGTAACCTATTACATTTCCAAAGTAACTTTCCCAACACTGATAACATAACAATATATTTGAGTAACAGTGAATCTGTGTGAATCCCAATAACGTCACGAATGGTGCTGGCTCTGAAAAGAATAAAGACAGAAGAACAAAATCATGACCGAGAGGCACAAAATCACTTCCAGAACATTTTAATTCAGTTCTTTGCTGGTGGAATTATTTCCTAATCCAGCCAAATCCCTGAAAGATTTATCTGAAAACTCATCTCTTCTGTGAACACAACTGTATCCTGCTTCTTCTACGCTTTCACAATCCCTAATACCTCCCTGTTCTGGCTTGTACTGTTTTGAAAAATGTCTGAAACTTATTATTAGCACTTCTCATATTTATTGCATCCTTAAGATAATGATTAATCGCTTGTTGTATTCCTCATTTGTAAGTCGATTTGGACAAAAAGCAGTAAACACTGCAAACTAAATGTTAATACACATTAGTTCTAGGGAAACAGTTTTAGGGGTTTAGCAATCACTGTAACTGCAGGGGGCGCATGAAACTTTTAACATTTTTCCTGGAAAATCCTAAGAGTACCCACATGAACCAAATGAGGGTGATGTAATGCAAGAAAAATCCATTTAATTTATTTTAATGTATAGGTTATGAACCAAAGTTGTATCGTGGCTGTCAGCATTCCTGTTATTTACATTTATGTCATGAAGACTATTTGAATTGTACAAATGTGCGATCAGTGTTTATTAAACAAGTTACTGAGCAAATGGAACTTGAATGCACACACTATAAAGCTGACATTATTTTAAAATATTCATACATCAGCTCACTCTGTTGTTCTGAGCTCGGATGCTCATGTTAATAGGACAGCTCACCCAAAAATTAACATTTTGTCAATTTACTCACCCCACAAATTGTTTCTTTCTTCTGTTGAACACAAAATAAGATTTTTAAGTGCTGGTAACCAAACAGTTGACGGTAGCCATTGACTTCCATGGTATTTTATTTTCATGCTATGGAACTCAACGGCTATCAGCAACTGTTTGGTTGCTGTCATTCTTCAACATCTTTTGTGTTCAACAGAAGAAACTCAGGTTTGGAACCACTTGAGGGTGAGTAAATGATGACAATTGTAATTTTTGAGTGAACCATCCCTTTAATCATTGGGGAGGGGGGGATGCTCAACACAACCTTTATTTGTATGTTTACTTCTGAAGGTTAACAGTGCAGTAACTCATAACACATAGGATGGCATTCAAAAGTCGGCCCAGGAAACAATCAAAAACTTCTGGAATATTTGTGGCAAGACTGAAATAATGATTCCAAACAACAGCATTTAATGTTTTTTATTGATGTCCTTAGACAGTTGTATTTCTGATGGACTCCTACTTGACATGTAACGATTAACCTCACTCTTATGGCGAACAATGACACGACTGAGAGATACAGTGATATCCTGAGAAAAGCAGTTAGCCAGGAGGCCATCCCAGCTGACGACCCCCCAGCACGTGGATGTGAACGTGGTAAACGGACTGACCCCCGTCAGGACCCTCATTGAGCACCACTCGATATCCTCGGGGCAATCCCACCTCCTCGGCACACTTCTTAGCAACGATCATCAGGTGTCCAAGTAGCTGTGCCAATATAAACAAACAATCATAATACATAATACTTCAAAACAGACATTAACCAATAGGTCTAGTGGCATAGAGTTTTAAAGTGCCCCTATTATGGAATTTTGAAAATGACCTTTCATGCAGTGTGCAACACAGCTCTCAGTGAATCCTGCAAAGTTTTAAATCTGAAAGTGCTCCGTGTATAAAGTTATTG